ATAAAGACAAGCTTGTCTGTCTTCATGTGCCTCTATGCACATGCAGAATCATACACAAAAACCAGAAACACACGTTAAAACTATGACTCTTATCTCAGAGCATGCCAGAGACAATGGGGTGGAATGCTTGCTTACCTAGAAAGTTCGTTTAAACTCCAGGAGTCACCCTTTGTTCATTTGTCAATTAGGTGTAATACTTTCTCAGCAGGAGTTGAAATCCTATATGAAAATCTCTTTCAAAGTGTCTGACATACAACAACCAGTAGTAAAATCTTCAGTTCTAATAAATACCACAATATAGTCTATGCAGTTGTGTGTAGGTAAGTCAATAAAAACAAACGCTAATCTAATAAGGTCTCAATTAGAAATAAACAAACAAGAACATTAGGAGTGAGTGTTTGGTGAGTAGTCAACATACAGCTTGGGTGTCTATCGCACATCAACATGCTTGAGTTTGAGTCTCAGTTTTGCACTTAATTCCAGCTTCCTGCTAATTAATTCACACCCCAATCAACAGGAGGGTACAGTTCAAGCGCTTGGGTCCCTGCATCCATGTACAAGAGCCAGATTGTTTTCTAGGCATTTAGGGAGTGAACCACTCTATCTCAGTCTTGTCTTTCTCCCTATCACATAGAATAAATATTTCAATGAAAAAAATAGCATTAAGCAGGATATTTTTTTTAAATCAAAGCACACTTAGCCCTCAGTGTCAAACTTAACACCAAATTTTTGCCCCTGCCAGAAAGCGTTGATCCCTTCCTCTCATTCCTCTATCATCACTACTTGCCCAGAGCACCAAATGCATCTTGACATTACTATGCCTATGAAAAACCCAAACTGTGACCTCAGGCTGGGAAATGCACAGTTCATAAAAGGTCTGCAGGTCAGAATGTCCATGTGGGCAGCCAGCAACCAGGAATCTTGCACAGGCTAAATAGGTGTGGAAAGGGCAGCATGGTTAAAGAAAGACTTGGACATCTTGAACCTCCCTGTCTATTTTGTCTCCTACCAATCATTCAGTTAAGCCAAAACACAAATGATGGAACTTCCAGTGCCAGGCCCAAGACACTTTCCAATCAAGTGCAGGAACTTGGAGAGAAGAACTTAGCAACCTGACATTAGCATTATTTCTAAGCAGCCAAATATGCCCAGTTTCCTATGAAGATCCCCTTAAAAACTAAGTTTTGAGCTTATGCATAACCCCCAGTGTAAGCCTTTCCTTCCCCTACTCTACTTGTGGCCTCCTTCCCCTATAGTTTCTCAGGTCCATCCATTTCCAGAGAATCTTGAGGATCATCGGTCTCCTTCATTTCATTCTGCGTCTGTGTCCACACCCTCTCATTCCATTTTTCGAATTATCCTTGGCAAACATTCCTCTGCATCTTTTCTATCCTACATCATGTCCATGGAGACATCTCCAGGTTACGGAGCCTCCTAGCCAGTCTCCCAGGTACTGATTTTTTCTTTTGATTCCTTCAGCCCTAATCATCTGCATTGCTTTTACTTAGGGTGACTTTCTTCAGTCACTTCTCTGTGGGTAATCCCTTGATTGACCTACAATCCACTACCTGATATATTAACAACCTAATTCTGGATCTTTAGTCCACTCTGATTTCCCATCTGCTCCACAGCAGCCACTCTGCTTGAGGAGAGAGCTCCACATTCCTGCTTGCAATGGGCCTTGGAGTGTTTGTGCAGGTATTTCCATCACAGTGGTGTTTCAGGTTCTATGACATCCACCTTCTTGCCTTTAACTAGACTCTTCTTTGTGTCAAGGATGCATCACACCTTTCAAAGGCAATGTAATAATCACCAAGAAATCAGTTGGTTTGGGATTTATTTTCATTTTTTAACAAATGGTCATAAGAAGAAGATAAACTTCAGACAATGTTACTACCATTTCTAAAGCAATTTGGACATTACATTATCTGATCCCCTCCATAACCTGTCAGGAAGCAACTCTAAGATGTATGTGTGTATGTGTGTATGTGTGTGACATGTGAGCAGGATACCCAAATGGAAAATATGTAATATATGTACAGTCATCCTTCAGGACCTGCAGGAGATTGGACTCAGGACCTGCTGGAGATGCTCAAATTACATAAAACAGTGTAGTACTTGAGTATTATCTATCCACATTCTCCTTTGTGTTTTAAATAATCTCAGAATTGCTTAAAATTCACAACAAAATGTAGGTATTATATCAATATTTCTTATACTGTACCGCTTAAAAATTATGGTAAGGATCCATAAGTTTGCAGAGATAAAATTTGAGTATTTTCAACCTGCAGTTGATTCCGTGGATGCAGATCTCACAGCAAACCAAAGAAATCAGGTATCAATAGGCAAGTAAGGTTATGGAACAGACCTGGGTGGAGATTCATATTGTGCTAAGAATAAATGTAAGTATAACTTTAAAATTACTGAATTCAAACTCTAAAGATTCAGTTCAGTGACTCAAGAGGAAATTCTTGATTCAATTATTTTTCTCTTGGACTTTCATTTCCGAGTGCCATCAAGGTGTCAGAACAATGAACATGTATGTGAAAGGGAATACCACTCAGAAAACTAGAGACCAACCATAACACCTCACTTGGTTTACACACCAAGAGCCTAGACACCTCCCTATGGCATCCTGCCCAATATAACATTCCTTTGCCTTGTTTCTTCATTGTCCTGGAAAGTCATGCTCTAAACTGTAATTTACAATCCTGATCTCTGGGGACCTAGCTCCTGGGCCTTCACATGACATTCCTCACTTCAGTGGATTTGTAAAGGTATCAAAGCCAATCCCTGTTTTGCAGATAATGGATCGATTCTTTACTTCCTTCTAAAAGGCCAAGAGAACAGATGACCATGTCTAATAAATGGAAAACATGTTTTCATGGTGATTTGTCATTGATGCAATTGTTTTTAATGAAATTGTGCCTGGAAAATTTCTGGAAAAATTCTTAGATGTAGAAGCAGTTTCCTCCCCAAAGGCTACCTCCTCACACTGTCACCAATTGAGTCCGGAAGGGCAGAAAGATGTTACTTTTACAGCTGTAGGGTCACCATCTGCTCCAGAGGAAGTTCGGAGCCCGAGCTCTAAAAGAAATTGGCAGAAACCTGGGGAAAACACTGTGACTTTAAAAGAATTAACACCAACTGGGCACATTTCTGGCTCTGTTTTTTTCCCCCCATGGGGTATGGGAGGGTTCAAGAGGTTTTCAGTGTGAGGCAGAGGTAAGAAGGATTCTGGCTTTAGAACACAGCATGGCTAGGTTGTGCTGCCATGCACTCAGGGAAAGAAGAGAAACAGAAAGGGGGATGTCATGGGTTAATTAATTAAAGGCAAAAGAAAGAAGAGAAAAGAAAAGAGAAGAAGAGAAGCAAGGAAGGAAAAGTAAAGAAAAGAAAAAAGGGATAAAGAGGGAACAGGAGGAGAGGTGAGTGGGGAGGAGAGGGGAGGAGAGGAGAGGAGAAGAGAAAAGAGGGGAGGCAAGGGGAGAGGCTGGGAACAGAGGAGAAGAGAGGAGAAAAGAGTAAAAAGGGGATCTATGAAGGGGTGCGGAGGGAAGGAGAGGGCTGGAAAGGGACGGGAGGGGAGGGGAAAGAATGAGGGATCTATGAATATATTAAGAGCTGCATACACCGTGTTCAAATTCTGTTTAAAGTGTTAAGCAGCAGCTGTGTCTGGTTACTGCACTGCTATGAGTTCTAACAAATGCCTCTATTTTGACCATGCTTTCTTGGAATAGCTTGATATCTCTTGTTAACTGTATCATTATATGGATCAAGACTCAGCCTCTCTGAAGATAAGACAATCTTAGTGTGATAGGTTAAGAAACTTTACCCCCTAAAAATTTAGCATAGCCATGAGCCCAACAGGACCTTACCAATAGGAACTCAGAAAGAGGTAGCTAGGGCATAATATGGAAGATCTTCATTTTTTCACCAATTGAAAGAGAAACTTCACTGGCTGTTATGCAGATGAAGAGTAGTTAGGGTGTCCTCATCTACTTGGGAAGGCCAACAGGAAGTAAAATGAACTAATACACACTGGGACAAATCTTGGGATAGGGAAATTCATCACGGGTAGTGGAGGAACCCAACGAAAGCAGTCGCTGGCAGCCTGAGAGTTTGCAGCACCCAGTGCAACCCAAGTCTTAAGCAGGAATCTCCCACATACATAAAAGGGAACAGCAGGCCGGGCATCGACCATGTGAGAATGACTGAAAGAGATGAAGTGGGAAAAGCATGAGGGACTTGATGAGGCACGAAAAGACTGACTTGCAGATTCGAGGTGACGGGGAGTCCAGGATTGGTTTCATCCTGGGTAATGGCAGATTTTCAATGGTCGTTATTGCTAGGAATAGTAGAATCAGGTCCTGGTGAAAGAAAAGTAAAACAAACAAACAAACAAAACAGCCTGGAGATGTACAAGCTGGGTACTACACTTGGCCAGAGATGCTGACAGTCAATTTGGCAGGGATCACTGCCTGCCTGTCTCCACCCTCCACTGGGCAGAGGTTGACATTGTCCAGACCATTTCCTCAGGGTCTAGGGGAGAAAAATGGAGTGGGAAACTCCTTTAGGACTTGAGATTCATGCTCAAGTTGAGCCACAAAATAAACTGCTGAGTGAGAGAAGTAGCTGGGAAAATAAAATGAGAGCAAGAAAGCAAAAAGGAAAGACTGCTGAGTTGAGTGTAGAAAAAGACATCTTTTGGTGATGGCAGAGGGCAGTGGAGGAGAAAGTCTTAGGGAAATCTTGGTGATATGGGGAGTGACAGTGGTGATAGGAGACAAAGCGGAAAGTCTAGCATGTTGCTATAGTCCATTGAGAGTCATTTAATAGAAGATGGAATGCTTTGTAATTATTTTAGCAGTAGAATTGTACTATTTAACCAGAAGATACTGGGGAATTAAAGTATGTGCATCACAGGATTCCAAAAAGTCGCAACCTGTCTTATTTGACTGTGTTTACAGAAGATATCGCCAAGCAAAGATTTCACTTACCGACTCGTTTGTGCCTTAGTAGCTCTTCATTAGCTGGATCATATTCATGGAGACTCTGAAAGAACATTGTTGAAAATCATCAGTTCGTGTTAGAAAAGTTTTTTTCCACTAGGGCCTGCTACTCATACAGTCCTCAGTGCTAGAGCTGAGCTTAAGGCTGCAGATTTGGTTTAGCACCAAGTGCCCAGTAGGTGGTAGGCAAAGGACAACTGGTGGGGAGAGGAAGCAGAGTCAATTCTGCATTGTGACCTAGAAGTATATGTTTTATAGACCAGCCTGTGGGTCCGGGGGCGGAAGAAATCCTCATATCTGAGCTTCTCAGTGTTCCTGCCATTTGAGTCCTGTCAAGAACCATAAATCATGATGTTGTAAACCTGTGCTCTCTGGCTAAGGCATGAACCCTGAGTCATTTCAGTGACCATTTAGTCAAGAGTCACAACCTCCTCTCTGAGCTTAGCCCATGCCCATCTCACTAATTTTGTTGTATTAAGGGCCGTTTAATCACTGTGTATGTTTGGGAGGTGTTTTTGTCTTTTTCCTTCCTCTGTTCCTCTTTATTCTGGATGGTTTTAGTGCTAGTTTCTGTGATAAGGGCTAAGACGCCACCTCCAGAGTTGAGTCAGGCTCTATGGGCAGAAGGCTGTACCACATACCAGTTCTATGACCTGTGGGAAGTTCCTTATCTTTAATGTGCCTCAGTTTTCTTTTCTGTATAACGGAAATAAAAATAGTTCTAGCATCATAAGATTTCTATGAGAACTAAGTGTACCATGACATAACATACAGTAAGCTATTACAAATTTTTAGTTATTCTCAAGATGGATCAAAGGACTAAATTTAAGACCTAAGACCACAAAATTGGAGCATAGGAAAGGCTCTAGCACAATGGCTCAACTGGTTAATCTTCCACCTCTAGGTGCCAGAATCCCATATGGACACTGGTTCATGTCCTTGTTGTTCCACTTCCCAGTCAACTCCCTGCTTGTGGTCTGGGAAAGCAGTGGAGGATAGTCCAAAAAGCTACGTGGGGACCCTACACCCACACAGGAGACCAAGGAAGAAGTTCCTGACTTCAGATTGGCTCAGCTCCAGCAGTTAGAACCATTTGGACAGTGAACGAGTAGATGAAAGATTTTTCTGTCTCTCCTCTGTAAATCTGCCCTTCCAATGAAAATAAATAAATATTTTTAAAAGATAATAAACATAAGGGAAACACTCCAAGACATTGGCATAAGGGATGGCTACTTGGACAAGACCCCCAAAGCACAGATATAAAAGTAAGACTAAATAAATCACATTGTATGAAACTTAGATACTTTTACACAGCAAGGGAAATGGTCAATAAAGTGAAGAGATATCAACAGAATGTGAAAAAAAATTTGTAAGGTGCCTTACAAAGGATTAATATCTAGAATACATTAGTAACATAAGAAACTCAACCACAACCTCAAAAAAAAAAAAAAAAGAAAAAAAAAGCAATAGCCAATCCACTTAAGAAATTGGCAAATGGCTTTAATATTTTCAAAACATATTTTCAGAAATACAAATGGCCAACAGAAATATGAAAAAATGTTCAATATCACTTAGCACACAAGGAAATGAAAATCAAAACCAAAGTGATATCAATTCACCCTGTCAGCTAAAACCCAAAACACAGAAATTAACAAATGCTGGTAAGAATGTGGGGAAAGTGGAATACTTATACACTGTTAGAGGCACTGTAAACTAGTTCAGCCACTACGAAAAAGAATGTGGAGTTTTGAAAACAAGCAAGCAAGAATCCTGGAAATAAACTCGCCACATAATCCAGCAGTTACACTACCCAAGTATATACCTGAAAGACAGGAATATACCGTATGAAAAAGATACCCACACCACCGTGTTACAACACTTGGCTGTAAACATGCACTATTCACAATAATCAGAATATGGACCCAACCAAGATATCCATCATCAGATGAGTAAAGTGTGATACACATACAGAAAGAGAATGATATATTTTCAGCTATAAAAGAAAGAATGAAATTCTACTATCTGTAGGCAAATGAATGCAACAGGAGGACATCGTGCTGAGTGAAATAAGCAAAGACAAATACTGTATGTTCCACCTTACCTGTTGGAGCCATGGTTTGAAAAAGAAATATCTGTGTGCATCAGTATTGCTGCAGACATAATTTTGTGAAATTTGTTTTGTATCTATGTCAAACCACTGCTTAAGAATATTATGCTGCTGTATTTTTATGTTCTGTGAGTATTTTAAAATTCATTGTATCTAGGCAAAATTGTCATTTAATTGTGGCTTATAGCCATTGTCTATATTCTCTCTCAACTATAGCCTTTTTACTTTTTACTTGTTGAAGTTCTGTTTTGGTGAAGTATTAAGCCTTTTTCGTATAATACAAATTTAAAATATGCAATCTCAAAAACTACAGAGATTTAAAAAAAATAAGAAAGGAGGGTAAGAGGAAGAAAGAAGAAAATATCATGATATTTTTAGAATTGCATCCACAAACCATATTGAATGTCAAAAACTAAGAATTAAAAAAATTAGACAATGTAATGAAAAATACACATTCATTTACAACCCCAACAATAAAACATAGACTACATTAGGATAAACCTCATAAAGAATGCACAAAACGTATGATGAAGACAACCATGAAAGTTAATTGGAATACACATCGGTAGGCCAGCCTAACAAAGTGACAGGATTCACCATTTATCTGTATGGAATGTCTAATAATTTCTTGAAGAAACAAATGCAGATATGATGACTAAGGAGTGTAATTTCAGAAGCACAAATTTTGCTTCATTGGCACTTAAGGTTTTCTAAGGGAACTAAGCTAAGCAGGAACTGAAGGTGCCAAGTCAATGTATAGAGCTGGTTCCCATCCAGCTTCCCCCTGGAGCCTGTTTGGCTTTGTGCCCATGCAGAGGAAGGTTCTTCCTGCATTCCTGCCTCCACCCTCCTTGGGTCCTGGGAATGAGTGGCTCCTGGTGATCTCTCCATCTTATTCTCAGAGCCAGGAAGCGAGGACTTGGACAATCCAGGAGAATGAGCCTATCATGGATCTCCTTGGGACAGCTTTCCCAGGAGGGGTTGCTCTGTTTTCCAGTTTTACTGTCAGTTGTGTATGAAAATCAAAGGACTTTTCAGTTTTCTAATTCAGTCTTACACATCTTTCCAACAATGCCCATTGTTGCCTTCATACTCCCCTGGAAAACTCCATATCACTGGATGTGAGGCCAATCTTCTGTGGTTCTCTTCTGAAGCTTTCAGGGCACCGGTGCAAACAATGGCTTCCATAGTCTGTCACTCACAGTCTTTTTGATGCCCAGTGAGAATTCACAACTTCTTGGGGGAAATAACTTTTTCTTTTCAATCCAATCATTGTGGGAGATGGTTGGTGGACAGCGGGGAGAAATGCACCCTGAGAGCAAATAAGCTTCTGGGGGATATAGGGGTGGAGGGAAATGACCTTGGTTTTCCAAGATTTGAGAAGTGGCAAAGAGCTTCCTGTCAATTCTGGCAATCTGGATTTGAGTAGAGCAAGGACAGGAGCCATGCTGCAGATGGCACTCCTGCAACTCAGCTTCTTACTGGGTGGGAAAGTCAGCGACTCTCTGTAAGCTTCTATTTCCCACATTATGAAGTGTCTGTGCTGAGACACATCGAGTGCTCTGTGCAGTCCCCAGCGTGGTGTGTGCAGTGCCCCTGGGTCCTCCTGACCTGGGGCCCACCAGAAAAAGAAACACTGCCAGAGCCATCATGCCATCACAGTGTGGGGGAACTTGTCAAGCTCTAGCACCTGTCTTTTCCTCAACATTTTAGGTGCAGGGTGGCACTCACCATGAGCTCCTAGGATTCACCTGTGTATTCACTCCAAACAAGAAAACAGAGCTCCTATCTGAACCTCCAACCCCGCCTCCTAGCCCCCAGCATGTCTATGTAGTTGTTCAGATCTGAGTGACAATGGCCAGCTCTGGCCAGAGGGAATTTCCTGATGGCTGAGCTTCAACCAGAAGAGACAAGGTCACCAATTCCAGGAAGAGCCCCACCTGTCAAACTTGATGACTTTCCAAATAACTGTTGGTGTTGGGGTGGGCAGCCTAGAGTGTGGGCAGGACAGAGGAATGGATAGCCAGTTCAAGAGACTGTGGAGAAGGAGCAAAATGTAGAGCAACCAAATGGTCACCTCAGCACACCAACCTCACCCTCCTTGCCAGATCCTGGGGACTCACTCTGTCATTTTTGACCTGGAATCCCAGTTTACTGTTTGCGTCAGACAATTGCCTCAGCCTGAGTCTTGCTGGAATGTCTCCTCTCATAAGGGCATTAACGGAAGTGTCTTTAACATAATAACCTATTGGGTTCTTTACACTGCTGAAGCGTAATGTGTACGAGAATCTAATATCCTTACAGCCAACCAGTGAAGGAGATAGCATATATTCCCATTTTATATAGAGGAAATGGGTTTGGAGCAATGGAGAAATGTGATGATGTTTCCAGAGTTAGCAGGGATCAAAGATAGACTTAAGCCCAAGGACCAATCTCAAAATAGAGAATAGAGCCCCGATGCTCCTAAGGTAATTGTTGGAGAGGAGCAAGTGTTGCCAGCAGGACACATCTGAGTCTACATCTCATTCTTACTAAAATCTACATTGTAAGAAAGTCTTAAGCAGATTCACGTTCTTTTCAAACTGTAGGAGTCTCTGGGTTCCATATCTGCATTTCAGATGCTCAGACCCTGTTTTTATAACCTGAGTATGTAACAACATTATTCACAGTAGTGAACAATCCAAGCTACTATGGATGGGTGGATGAGTAAATCAAATGTGGTGCATGCAGAAAATGGGATATTATGCAAGCTTTAAAAAGAAAGTTTATTGTGACACAATTTGCAGCATGGAGAAACCTTGAGGATATTATTCTTAGTGAAATAAGCCACCCCCCAAAAAATGCAAATACTTGATGATTTCGCCTACACGAGCTATCATAGGTAGTCAAATGCATAGGATGGAGAGTAAAATAATGTTTGCCCAGGACTGAGGACAGACAGGAGGAACTAGTGTATTACATTCTGCAATGTAAAAAGTCCTGGAGTCCCGGATATAAAACCATGTTAATATATTTAACAAAACTGAATTTTGCTTGTAAAAATAGCTAAGATTGCAGTTTTTATTTATTTTACGTGCATTTTAAAACAGTGTAAAAATGCCCACAAGAGGGAGGGCTGGCATTGTGATCTAGTGGGTTAAGCCACTACCTGCAATGCTGGTATCCCCTATAGATGCTGTTTTGTATCCTGGTTGCTCCACCTCTAATCTAGCTCTCTGCTAATGGCCTGAGAAAAGCAGGTAGATGGTCCAAGTGTTTGTGCTCCTGCACTCACACGGAAGTTCCAGATGAAACTCCTGGTTCCTTATTTGGCCTGCATCAACAAACTGTGCTCTCTCGCTCTCTCTCTCCTTCTCTCCCTCTCTTTTTCCCTCCTTTTTTTCCTACCCCATACCCAGTAACTCTGCCTTAAGAAATATGCCTTCTCTTAAACCTATCACAAAATGTTACACTTAAGGTGCTAAATTGTCAGCTGTGGAAACTGGGTAGCAGCTTAGGGCAGCATAAACTAATCTGGCTGACCCAAGCGCCCCTCTCCAATGGAAGTCCTTGGTCTCTGTATGAGGATTTTGTATCTTGAAGGACAATCCTAGGGAGGAAACTTTAGCACTTTGGATCTGGGAAAGGTTAAGAGTTCCTAGGAAAATGAACTTCAAATGCTACTATTAATTCCAGAAGATTTACTTTCATATTCCCTGAACTGTGTATGCCATCAGGCAAAGAGATAGACTCTGCCAGGACTACTATCAGGGCAGACCTGGCACACAGAGAGAGTGCTGCTACAGCCATGAATACTGAGAAACTGCTCAGAGACAAAGCTGAATCCCACCTGTTAAGATCACCTCTAGGCCGGACGTTCCCTCCACACACACTGGATAACCAGGGCTCTCTACCAGTCTCGTGAGTTCGCAAAATGTGCAAAGATTTCCACCCTTAATTTATATGAGCAAGCTACTTCACATGATGGCAAAGGTTGTATCGCTCACACTGGAGTTTGGAAGAGACACACTGTGCATCCCTCCCCTCCCGCCCCCAATCACAAGAAAAATAAAGACAAGACAATGAAAGCCTCACTGAAGCAAGGAGCATCCCAACAACCAAAAGAGGGAGAAAATGCATGAAGTCATAAAGCAAAGTTCTAAAAATGAGACTAAACATATCAGCTACGATATCCATATAAATAAGTGACACTCACTTAATCCAAGTTAAGTTCTTTCAAATTTGGTTTAAAGGGGTAAACCTCAAGCACACGTATTTTTCAAAGATAACAACTGAAGAAAAATGGCATATTAGATTCTCAACAAAAACAGGAAAATGACAAAAATAAGGCAAACTCAAAGACAAAAACACGAATGACAATTGGAATAGAAGAGAAAACTTAAATTCAAAAGTACCAGGAAGGCCAGAGACATAATCTACAATGATAAAATTAAGCAAAGCCATTCTAAAAACAGTGGCAGACTGAAGTAAAGAGAACTAAAATATCTAACACAAGGAAAATTACCTCAACAGAAAAAGTTCTATGGCAAGGAGAGACATAACAATAGAAAACATTTATACAGCACTGTCATGTTCCAGGCATTGTACTAAGGCATTTAATAAATATGACGTCACTGTAAAAAACTCAGAATAAAATGGAATTAGAAGACATTTATGTCAATGCAAAGATTTTTTTTTTGAAATCTACATATCATTTTTCCTAGGACCCATTTTTCCATAAACTTTCTGAAGTATCCTTATATTAACTGATTTCATTTTCATAACATGCATAAGAAGTCAATACTGCTATTGTTATCATCAATCAAATAAGATTCAAATCAACAGTATACCCTAATTCTGACACATGCAGAAGCCTAGATAAAGAATAACCTAGTAATTCCTGGGAGGACAAAGGAATTACTTATCAACCCCTTTTACTCAAACGCAGCTCCCTCCAATGTTCCAAAGACAAGCTAGCCGGAACAACTCATCAGCAGAGATCTTAGATGGTACCTGTGTTGGCCTCCGACACATCGATCCATAACTGTGACATCCTGACACACAGATTCATGTCTTTTGAAATGTGCTCTAGACTGATGCTAAAGTTAGCATGAATCCCATGAGACCATACGTTCTGCTCAATCCTCTAAAGATGTTCACTGTCACTGTTGTCAGTTTCACAGAGTGGAAGCCTCTGACTCGGGGACTGCAGTTGAGTTAGGGTGAGAAGGCTGGGAAATCTCCCTTGAAGATATGATGATGTGTCATGACTTATTTCAGAGGATGGCAAGTTGTGGCCCAGTATACACACCACCATCCATTTTCAATCACCCTTCTCCCATTTGCAACATTTTCTTAAAATACACCTCCTCCCTCACCCCCTGCTTATTCTTAAAGTACACCTCCTCCCACACCCCTGTTTAATAAACTTATGTTTATTGAAAACATTTTCCATCTACAATATGCTCAGAAAATCAAAGAAATGAAACAGAGAGAAATAGAGCAAACATGGATTTACTCACCAAAGGATAAACTATAGACTCTAAGTTCAGCACAAGTTTGGAAGAATAAATCACAATAAAAATGAGGCACAAAGTGGTTCTCCTTGGGGATTTCATTTCTTCAACTTTGCTTTGCCTGAAATGGAAATACAATAGTTTAGAGCTGGAGCAACTTGATTATTAGAAAAGGAGAGAACCAGCGGGTCCTACACAAAGATCCTTTTCAGATAGAGTAGGGAGAGGAAGGAGCCCAGGCGCCCTACCTTTAGAGCATGATCTCTGTGAAGGCTGAGGAGGAAAAATAGTGTCCGGGGGGGAGGTAAGGGGTATCACATGTATATGGAGGAGGGGGTAGCATCTTCTGCACAGGTGAAGAGAAAAGAAATGAAAGGAGGAATGAAGAAGAGAGAGGAAAGCCAAGGAAAGGAAAGACAGCTCATCAAGAAAAGCCTTTAACAATGTGACCCAAAGCAAGTAAAACATGCACAAAAGAATTCAGAGAACACTATTTAGTTTTGCTAAATGTGGTTTTTCTTTGTTTTTTCTCTCTCTCTCTCAGTTCTCTCCTATTCCATCATCCCCACCATCTCCATCCCCTTGTTGTAGTCTGACAGCGAGGAGCGGTACACTTCCATTCCTTCCACCTCTCAGATACAGGAAGGAAAATGGAAGCATTTATGTTACCGACCTTCTCCCTGCCCCACCCTGACCCTCTCCATCCTAAACCGAGAGCCACGTAGGCATGCAACCTCTTCATTTTTGTAATAAATATTATAATAAAATTTAAAAAGAGATAACAACAACAAAAAAAAAAACAAAGTTGGTCCTCAGGGTAATAGTAGTTACCTTGTAGTGACCTTTAGGTGAGAGATGATCAGATCACAGAGGCACCTTCCTAGGAAGGATGAAGACTTAGCTCTTCAGATCTGGTTAAGTTTCTCGGAACTGGACTAGTTCTCAAGAGAGCAGGCTACTCTCAGCTGAGGCCACCCCAACATATTTGGTTACTTCTACATATATTCAGTCCCTTCAACTCGTCTACTGTGTTGTGTTGTAGTCAGGGAGCCTCATCAGGTTTGCCCCATGCACTTCCAGCCACTAAAGGTCAAGAGCCAAACGAACCTCTTTTCTTTGAACATCATCCAGTATCACATTTTCTGTTATAATAACACAGAACAGACTTAAAATTGCTGATTTTTGAAAATTAATTAGAATGCTATTAATGAAAGCTGAGATTTATGGTGGCTAGTTTAATCATGATTGCATTAAAAAATTCTAGTATCACATAGAACAAGCCCAACTCAACTAGGTATGAGGACCAAGATAATAACTTTGTAGGGAATTCTTTCCTGTTAGATTTTTCTAGATCCAAGTGTTGTTATAAGACTAAGAGCCCGAAGACCCATACCAGCATCCAGGATTCCCCTGAAGTAGCTGCATCCTTGGGGACTCTGAGTTTAAATGTCCTCATCAGTAAAATACAGATAATTATACATCTTGTAATTCTCCAACTGAGTTTTCTGAGGCTCACATGAGACTAAAAGCATCTAGGAGCTCCAGGGACTCAGGCTGTGATGACTGTAACCTGATTATTGTGGAATGCAAAAGGCAACCATGAGGACTGGCCAACCTTGGCCAAGACCTTGTGCCTGATGCCGGCCCAGGTTTACATGCCAGGCAGGATTATATTTCCATCATCAGCTGCTGACTGCTGTCTTTTCCTTTTCCCCAGTGGAAAAGAGGGAAGCACTGGGGCTCTGGAAAACTGACCCAACTTGCAAATCTGGCAAGTGAAATACATTTTTAAAATTCTGCAGCTTCATGTTTTGTTTTTAAAAAAATACTTCACAATTTCAGTTACAGGAATAGATGTTCAAGACCATGTCGGAATGCTATAGAGAAATCATAGCAAGGCATGTCTAGTTTCTAGTTTGAAAGTTTCTTTTCAAGGTAAATTAGCCTGCTGACAACAACTGTTCCTGGGTATCATACGCTTAAGCAGTTATTTTATCTTCAACATGCACTGTACTTGTTTTCTCTAAATTGGAGGGGATGAGACTGAGGAAGGGAAGAGTTAGTGAGCGTCCCTTAGTATCTGACATCTAGGGAGAGACTTGGGAGCAGAGGGACTAGCCTCCATCTCGGCTTGCTGTTTCCTGATATTGGCAGTGCCTCCTTCATCAGAATCAGTAGAAATTATAATTTTCCCATATGGTCACGCCTGGCCCTTCTGAATAAGCCATTGACCAATATTCTTCCCATCTTTGTCCAGCTTTGTCTTGCTTAAGATAGCTGGTAAAACAAATCCACTTCTCTTTGTTGATGTGTTTGTTGATTACAAAGTCACAAGTAGAAAGAGACAGAGATGGAGGGAGGATCCACGATGGAAAAGATATTCTCTGAATGCAGAGGAATGATACCTGTTTTTCAATTCTACAGCAAGATGAGGACAAAGAAAGAAGAATGCCATCCCTTAGACTGGAAGGTGATACTCAAAATATCTGACAGCCAGTATGCTCTGGGTCTAGTGGAAGCGTGATGCTAAGTGATCGTTTTCAATTTTGTGGCTGCTGCTGTTGCGGACAGCAGAGAAGGATTGTGGAAGGGCAGGTATTTGGCCTGGAGGTGAAGACTGTTTAAGATGCCAACATCTCATATTCAAGTAATTGGATTGGATGCAAAAATGCTTCTCCTGATTCAAGGTTCCTGCTAATGCAGACCCTGGCAAGGAACGGGTGGTGGTTCAAGTAACTGATTAAACTCCTGCCACCTACATGGCAGACCTGGGTAGAGTTCCCTGCTCCTGGCTTTGACCCATGCCTAGCCCTTAGATTTTGGACATTTGTGGAATCAATTTGTTGATCAATGGATGCAGGAATCTCTCTCACTCTCTCTCTTTTTCTGTTTCTTAGATAAAACAAGATCATTTAAAATGGAGTTAAAGATGAGTTTATTTAGGTGCAAAAAGTTTTAAAATGTATGCATAGGTTTTTCCTAATGTATGTGGGAGACATATGAAGATGGAAGTTTCTTATGTACAACACTAATCTTGGATAAATCCTTAGCACACCAAGTGTCATCCATGAGAAACCAGTGGACATTGTTCTTGGTAATGGAAAAAAAATCCACATTTGTGAAGCAGCCTCCCCAGTTCTAAGCAGTGTGTCTTCTGTAGCCTCCCCACTTTAATTATAAAACCAATCAGCACTCATCTTCATTCTGAACCTCCTAAAGAACAAAGACTGAGAGACAGAACCAGAAGCACAGAGAGTTACGAAGTCATTTTGTGTCATTTCCAATGATGTCCTCTGTTGAAATTGAAATCTATCATTATTAACTGTCCTTTGTGAGCTGGCTGTATCTGAAGAAAAAGCTCAGAAATATGACTTAATCCTTGGTATTAACCCTATGGCACTGAGTAACTTCCTGGTCTCCTCTGACTCCGTTTTCCTGTCTGCGAAGTTAAGTGAGGGAGAGAAGCAAAGAGAGCATCCCCTGACATCATATGCCAGGAATAGGTGGTGAGAATTCTCAGCAGCCCTGCACTTGATGGAGAAAGGCTCCCTAGAAGAGTGACTATGCCTGCTGACACCTTAGAAAGAGCCAGCAATCGAGATCCACTCCTCTCCTAGGAATCCCTGCTCCCTGACCAGCTGTGAATCCAAGCTGGTACTTTGATATGTGATATTGGCAACCCCTGAGGAGACTCAACCTGCTATAGCACAATGCCAAAAACCAGATTCGGTTTTTTTATCAAGCAAAGCTAAGGACTTGATTAAAGTCATTAATTTCAAAAATTGCAATGCAAGAGCTGGCTTCTGAAGGTCCCATTATTGTTCCCCATAATTCCATAATCTCAGATTGAACCTCACTTATCTTAATTTCTGAGTCTCATAGTAACCAACTTAAATTTGGCCAGCCCACAACTTCCCTGCCTTTCAAACACACACATCACAGCTAAGGCTACCATGTTTTTCCTTCTGCCCTGTCTGTATGTGGTGGAAGATTGAATTTTTTGAAGGGCTCATTTCACAAATGCTCCACTTTTTGTGTTCCTCACTGCATTCAAGTAAAGGCAGCTCACTTTCAATAGTACCCAAGTCCTTTAAGAGCTGGGTTTTGTTTTTTAAGAACAAGTGTACTTCAAAGCATCCCTCCTGGTTCCACTAAGGAAATCAGTTGCTTTGTCATAACTTTAAACAAGAGGGCTCCTGGTGCTCAAGCACTGGGTTTTTGTAAAGATTCTGAAACCAATCTTTGGATATTGATCTTGGCATAAGTATTTTTTAGAGTTTGGCAAAACCAAAACAGTATTTCTATTTATTTGCTTTGTCAATCTCCATCCTTTCTTGTCCCATAGCCTCAGGGGGAAAAAAAGCTGCATTTAAAAAAATTCTGTCCTTCCTTCTGAGTCTAGACAAAAGCTGCCTCCTTAGATGGAGGTTCCCCCATGTGTTCTGCTATAAATAGTTCCTACTTCCTCTGACAGCTTACATGCACTTAAAGTAGACCTCTTAGCCTTCCTGCTGGAGTTATATTTGCTGTCATAAATTATCCCATCAGGTTAAATCTATCTACTCTGACACCCCCACACGCAAATACACCATCGTGCGCAAACACACACATGTATCCATGGCACACATTTGTTGCATCCTGCTGAGTGTCTGGTGTTCCACTGAGTACAGAGGAAGCAGCAGTAAGCAAGACAACATGCCCTGTCTCCACAGAGCTTAGAGTCTAATGGGGTAGAAGAGCATTATTAAAGACTCAGCTACTCAATTTATCATTTAATTAATACTGGAGAAGTGCTACCAAAGAGAATAATCATAATACTAATGTTTGTTGAACCCTTACCATGTACCAGACGCTGAAGTCAACTGTCACAGCAGCGAACTGGTTCTAGAATGAGATCTATTAATAGTCTACTGTCAAATTAACTGAATGACAAAGTGGTTAAATGCCTTACCTGAAATCAGAGGCATTTAACCAGAATTTGAACCAAGGAAGTCTAACTTCAGAGCCTAGCCTTTTGATCAATGTCTAATAAAGTTCTGTAGCAGAGGAACATGACCTCATCGTCAGAATTTGTGGAAAGTGTTATAAAGGAAGGTATTTAA